AGCTGGTAAGGCCAGCAGTACACTTTCCCTGTCCCACCTCAGAGGTATATCAACTTTCAAGCCCTATGTCAAATTTTAGTCCTCAGGGAACTTGACCGCTTTTTCCTTCCACAAGATATCACACTGGCTCATTACACTGATGACACTATGCTGATTGGACCTAGTAAGAAAGAAGTGTCAATGACTCTGGGCTTATTGGTAAAACCTTTGTGTGCCAGAGGGTGGGAAATTAATCGGACAAAAACTCAGGTGCCTTCCACCTCAGTGAAATTTCTAGGAGTCCAGTGGTGTGGGGCATGTCAAGATGTTCCTTCTAAAGTGAAGGGTAATTTGTTACATCTGGCCCTTTCTACAACTAAAAAGGAGGCACAATGCCTGGTTGGCTTCTTTGGATATTGGAGGAAACATAACCGTCATTTGGGGTACTACTTTGGCCTATTTATGAAGTGATTCAAAAACCTGCTTGTTTTGAGTGGGGCCCAGAACAAGAGAAGGCTCTGCAACAGGTTCAGGCTGCTGTGCAAGCTGCTCTGCACTTGGGCCATATGATCCAATGGTGCTTGAAGTGTCAGTGGCAAATAGCGATGCTGTTTGGAGCCTTTGGCAGGTCCCTATTGTTGAATCACAGTGCAGATCCTCAGGATTTTGGAACAAATCCCTGCTATTCTCTGCAGATACCTATTCTCCTTTTGAGAAACAGCTTTTGGCTTGTTACAGGGCCTTAGTAGACACTGAATTTTTAACCACCTGCCACCAAGTCACAATGTGGCCTGAACTGTCCATCATGAACTGGGTGTTGTCTGACCTACAGAGCCATGAAGTCAGACGTGCACAGCAGCACTCCATCATTAAATGGAAGCGGTATATAGAAGACTGGGTTTAAGCAGGGCCTGAAGGCACAAGTAAGTTGCATGAGGAAGTGTCCTAAATGCCCATGATCTCCACTCCTGTCACATTACTCACCCTCTCTGAGTCTGCACCAATGGCCTCATGGGGAGTTCCTTATGATTAGCTGACTGAGGAAGAGAAAATTCATGCCTGGTTTTCAGATGTTTTTGCTCAATATGCAGGCAACACTTGAAAGTGGACAGCAGCAGCACTGCAGCCCCTTTCTGGGGTCTCCCTGAAGGACAGTGGTGAAGAAAAATCCTCCTGATGGGCTGAACTTCAAGAAGTGCTCCTGACTGTCCACTTTGCTTAGAAGGAGAGATGGTCAGATGTGCGACTGTATACTGATTCATGGGCTGTGGCCAATGGTTTGGCTGGACAGTCAGGGACTTGGAAAGAACATGATTGGAAAATTGGTGACAAGGAGGTATGGGGAAGAAGTATGTGAACAGACCTCTCTGAATGGGCCAAAGAAGTGAACATATTTGTGTGTCATGTGAATGCTCACCAAATGGTGACCTCGGCAGAGGAGGATTTTAACAATCAAGTGGATAGGATGAGGTATTCTGTGGATATCAGTCAGCCTCTTTCCAATGGGTTCATGAACAAAGTGGCCATGATGGCAGGGATGGAGGTCATGAATAGGCTCAGCAACATAGACTTCCACTCACAAAGTCCAACTTGGCTACAGCTACTGCTGAGTGCCCAATCTGCCAGTAGGAGAGACCAACACTGAGTCCCCAGTATGGCACCATTCCTCGAGGTGATCAGCCAGTAACCTGGTGGCAGGTTGATTACACTGGACTGCTTCCATCATGGAAAGGGCAGTGTTTTGTTCTTACTGAGATAGATTTACTCTGGATATGGATTTGCCTTACCTGCATGCATGCAGTAACTACCATCCACGGACTCACAAAATGCCTTATCCACTGTCATGGTATCCCACACACCAGCACCTCAGATCATGGAACTCACTTCATAGCAAATGAAGTATGTCAGCGGGCCCATGTTCATGGGATACAGTGGTCTCACAATGTTCTCCATCATACTGAAGTAGCTGGCTTGACAGAATGATGGATGGCCTTTTAAAGACACAATTATAGCACCAGCTAGGTGGCATCACTTTGCAGGCAGGATTTGGGCAATATTCTCCAGGAGGCTGTGTATGCTCTAAACCTATGATGTTTTTGCTGTTTCTCCCACAGCCAGGATTCATGGTTCCAGGAATCAAGCAGTGGAGATGGAAGTGGAACCACTCACTATTAACCCAAGTGACCCATTTGAAAAAGTTTTTCTTCCTGTCCCCATGACCCTATGCTCTGCATGTCTAGAGGTCTTAGTTCCAAAGCAAGGAATGCACTCACATGGAGACACAACATGGATTCTATTAAATTGGAAGTTAAGAATGCCACGTGGCCACTTCGGCCTTCTCATGTCTCTGGATCAACAGGCAAAAAAGGGAGCTACCATATTGGCCTATGTGACTGACCCTGACTACCAAGGGTGAATCAGTTTGATGCTGCATAATGTAGGTAAAAGTGTATGTCTGGAATGCAGAAGATCCCTTAGGGCGTCTCTTGGTACTACCATGCCCTGTGATTATAGTCAATGGAAAACTACAGCAACCCATTTCTGACATGACCACTAATGGCCTAGGCCCTTTAGGAATGAAGGTTTGGGTCACCCTACCAGGCAAAGAACCACAGCCAGCTGAGGTACTTGCTGAGGGCAAAGGGAATATGGAATGGGTGGTGGAAGAAGGTAGTTCTAAATACCAGTTATGACCATTTGACCAGTTGCAGAAAGGAGAACTGTAATTGTTCCTTGTATGTGTGCATCAAATATTTTTGTTTCCTTCACATATATATAAGATATAAATGGTGCTAGTTGTTTTTGGTTGTACACATGTTAGTTGTATCATGTTAGGCACAAGTATGACTTTGCAATTGTATTTAGAGATTTGTGCAGTTTAAGGAGATGTGTACAGATGCCAAGTTGACAAGTGGTGGACTGTGATGGTTAAGGCTGTGTGTCAACTTGGCTGGGCCATAATTCTCAGTGGTTTGGCAGTTATGTAATGATATAGTTTGGCAGTTATGTAATGATGTAGTCATCCTCCATGAAGTGATCTGATGTGATCAGCCAATCAGTTGTAAGGGGAGTTTCCTTGGGGGTGTGGCCTGTATCCAATATATACATGGATGTTCTGGCGAAGCTACCTTGCTTGCTCTGGATCCTGTATTCAGCTCATCAATATCTGACCTCCAGGTTCTTGGGACTTGAGCCAGCTGCCTGCCATACAGCCTGCTGATCTTGGGATTTGTTAGCTTCTGCAGCCTGTGAGCCAGCAGCCTGCCATCTAACCTGCCAATCTTAGGCTTGTCAGCACCTGTAGCTAAGTGAGTCAGGAGAAGCCTCCAGCCTGATGCCTGACCCAAGGACTTGGGACTTGCCAGCCTTTACAACTGCATGAACCATTTCCTTGAGATAAATCTCTTTCTCTGCCCCCCCA